GGTTCAATTTTATTTCAATAATTCGCTTGCACGTAGGGGTCTTTGGCGCTATTGCACTTTCGTACCTCTACCAGTTCCTGTGGTCGTAGGAACTTGAAATTATTAGAGGATGTTACGGGGGACTAACAATGACCACACACCAAATTTCAGCCGAATCGATCAATAACTTTTTATTTTACCGACCTTTTAATTTCTAACGAGAGAGAACTTTATCTGTTTGACGCCATTTGCTTTGTTTACTATTTAGACTCGAATAACAAGACACTAAGACGGAAACCGACACACTGCACTAGCTGCCTATCTCTGCAGTTCATAAAACTTAATATAATTTTCGTGTACTTTAATTTTTGCGCGAAGCCACCATGTTCTATAAAATACTATTTGGTGTTGATCAGTGGATTGGCCTTTAGGTGTGAATATTGCCGTGACCTTGATTTTGACCTTGAGTCTTAACTTCTCATCCATATCAGGGCCTTTGCGTTTATGATTGCCGTGGCCTTATTTCTTACTGTATTTTCAAAGTTAATGTTCGAGGTGAAAGCAGAGACGACGTCCTTCGGAAAAGATGATTGGGTCAAAGTCGTAGGTCAAGGTCATGTTACAGAAAACTAAACTCAAACTTTTCAAAGTCATTTTTGGGACATTTGACCTTGACTTACGACCTTGACCCCGTAACCATTTTCGAAGGCTATCACCATGGCTTGAATCATGGACGTTTACCTTGGTTCTGTCACACACTGCTCGGTCAGAAAAGGGTCAAACGGAGAGGGGCCCCGTGTCCGAAAGGAAGTCAATGGGCGTGGTCAATGTGAAAGGTCGTAGTGACCTCCACTAGTCACCGTTAACCATCCGTGACCTTGACCCTGACCTAGAGTCCGAACTTCCCATCCATCTCGGACCCTTTGCGTTTATGCGTGCCGTGACCTTATTTCATTTTTGGGACAGGGCCAGGGTAAACGTCGATGGTTCAAGCCAAGATGATGGGCTTTGAAAATGGTTACGGGTCAAGCTCGTAAGTCAAGGTCAAATGTCCCAAAACTGACCTTGAAAAGTTTGAGTTCAGTTTTCTATAACATGACCTTGACCTACGACTTTGACCCAATTATCTTTTCTGAAGGACGTTGTCTTTGATTTCACCTCAAGCATTAACTTTGATAATACAGTAAGAAATAGGGTCACGGCAAGCATAAACGAAAAGGGCCCGAGATTGATGGGAAGTTTGGACTCAAGGTCGAAGTCAAGGTCACGGATGGTTAAAGGTGACTAGTGGAGGTCACCACGAACTTTCACATTGACCACGCCCTTTGACGTCCTTTCGGACACGGGACCCTCTGCGTTTGACCGTTTTCTGACCGAGCAGTGTGCGACAGGGCCAGGGTAAACGTTGATGGTTCAAGCCAAGATTATGGGCTTTAAAAATGGTTATGGGATCAAGGTCGTAAGTCAAGGTCAAATGTCCCAAAACTGACTTTGAAAAGTTTGAGTTCAGTTTTCTGTAACATGACCTTGACCTACGACTTTGACCCATTTATCTTTTCTGAAGGACGTTGTCTCTGCTTTCACCTCAAGCATTAACTTTGATAATACAGTAAGAAATAGGGTCACGGCAAGCATAAACGAAAAGGGCCCGAGATTGATGGGAAGTTTGGACTCAAGGTCGAAGTCGAGGTCACGGATGGTTAAAGGTGACTAGTGGAGGTCACCACGAACTTTCACATTGACCACGCCCTTGACTTCCTTTCGGGCACGGGCCCCTCTGCGTTTGACCGTTTTCTGATCGAGCAGTAAGCGACAGGACCAAGGTAAACGCCCATGATTCAAGCCAAGTTGATAGCCTTCGAAAATGGTTACGGGGTCAAGGTCGTAAGTCAAGGTCAAATGTCCCAAAACTGACTTTGAAAGTTTGAGTTTAGTTTTCTGTAACATGACCTTGACTTTGACCTTTTAACTTTTCTGAAGGACGTTGTCTCTGCTTTCACCTCAAGCATTAACTTTGATAATACAGTAAGAAATAGGGTCACGGCAAGCATAAACGAAAAGGGCCCGAGATGGATAGGAAGTTTGGACTCAAGGTCAAAGTCAAGGTCACGGATGGTTAAAGGTGACTAGTGGAGGTCACCACGACCTTTCACATTGACCACGCCCATTGACTTCCTTTCGGACACGGGCCCTTTGCGTTTGACCCTTTTCTGACCGAACAGTGTGCGACAGGACCAAAGTAAACGTCGATGGTTCAAGTCAAGGTGATAGCCTTCGAAAATGGTTACGAGGTCAAGGTCGTAAGTCAAGGTCAAATGTCCCAAAACTGACTTTGAAAAGTCCGAGTTTAGTTTTCTGTAAGATGACCTTGACCTACGACTTTGACCCAATTATCTTTTCTGGAGGACGTCGTCTCTGCTTTCACCTCGAACATTAACTTTGATAATACAGTTAGAAATAAGGCCACGGCAAGCATAAACGCAAAGGGCCCGAGATGGATGGGACGTTTGGACTCAAGGTCAGAGTCAAGGTTACGGATGGTTAACGGTGACTAGTGGAGGTCACCACGACCTTTCACATTGACCACGCCCATTGACTTCCTTTCGGACACGGACCCTCTGCGTTTGACCGTTTTCTGACCGAGCAGTGTGCGATAGGACCAAGAAAAACGTTCATGATTCAAGCCAATGTGATAGCCTTCGAAAATGGTTACGGGGTCAAGGTCGTAAGTCAAGGTCAAATGTCCCAAAAATGACTTTGAAAAGTTTGAGTTTAGTTTTCTGTAACATGACCTTGACCTACGACTTTAACCCAATTATCTTTTCTGAAGGACGTCATCTCTGCTTTCACCTCGAACATTAACTTTGATAATACAGTAGGAAATAAGGCCACGGCAAGCATAAACGCAAAGGCCCCGATATGGATGGGAAGTTTGGCCTCAAGGTCAAAATCAAGGTCACGGCAATATTTACACCCAAAGGCCAATCCACTGATCAACACCAAATAGTATTTTATAGAAAATGGTGGCTTCGCACAAAAATTAAAGTATACGAAAATTATATTAATTTTTATGAACTGGAGTGTTAGGCAGCTAGTGCAGTGTGTCGGTTTCCGTCTAAGTGTCTTGTTATTCGAGTCGGTTTCCGTCTTAGTGTCTTGTTATTCGAGTCGGTTTCCGTCTTAGTGTCTTGTTATTCAAGTCTAATTAGTAAACAAAGCAAATGGCGTCAAACGGATGAAGTTCTCTCTCGTTAGAAATTAAAAGGTCGGTAAAATAAAAAGTTATTTATCGATTCGGCTGAAATTTGGTGCGTGGTCATTGCTAGCCCCCCTTAACATCCTCTGAAAATTTCAAGTGCCTACGACCACGGGAACTGGTAGAGGTACGAAAGTGCAATAGCGCCGGGGTCTTTAGCAGTGGAAGGAAACCGGATGACCCGGAGAAAACCCACGAGGTTGGACAGGCGACCCTACTTGTCACGTACAACCGGGAAATCGAAACCCCGCCAGTTGACTCAATGACAGACCGTATGATACAGCGTCACAAAGTGATCAAGGGTCATAACTTTGGCAGTAATTATCGTTGAAAATCAATAGGACTCTTCGTCTCATGACCTTAAACACTGTGTATAAATTTAAGGTCAATCGGATATTAACTTTGGCCTCTAGTGCGTCCACAAGATTTCTTGAAGTGATCAAGGGTCATAACTCTGGCAGTAATTATCGGAAATCGTTGAAAATCAACAGGCTTCTTCGTCTCAAGACCTTAAACACTGTGTATAGATTTAAAGTCAATCGGATATTAACTTTAACCTCTAGAGTGTCAACAAGATTTTTCAAAGTGATCAAGGGCTATAACTCTGGGGAGGGGGGGTGTTAACGCCCTACTGGGCTAGGCTAATGGAGTTTACTAACATTCAACTCCTACATTCCCCAGATTTGTATGGCACAATCATGGGAACAGACGTTATGTGTTCATTATTCCTGGGGCCCCGTTTCACGAAATTTTAATTAAGATAAAATCAAAATTTTAGTAATTTGATTGGATAATATTAGATTGATTTTAGTGCTTAGCCAATCAAAATTGAAGTATCTATTAAAATTTGGATTTTAACTTTAGTTAAGATTTCGAGACACGGGGCCCCCGATCCTTAATTATGTTTCACATTGTACAGAAAGAATAAAGCTTAAAGGGAAGGAGCGATGTATGGTTCGACAAATTTCAGACTAACATTGTATATTTTTTATGCAGGCGTTTTAAGTCGTGAAGTAAACCAGATGACAAAACATGATCCAAAAAACATGCAAGTGACAACTTGGCCACATAACCCCCTAATGGTAGATTTAGAAGCCGCAAGCTACAGTTTAGTCTTGCATTCCCACACGGGCCATCACGATAGCCAGCTCAGTCTGAACAAGAGCCATAAATAAAATTCTGTTTTCCAATTTGTGGATTTAGTTTAGTGACATGTTGGGGGGCAAAAAATACTCCCTGCAGTGTTTTGTTTGATTAGAGCTAATCCCACTTAATACTACTGTAATGGAAGCATATTTCTGCCTGGTCAATAGTCCGATTAACAAACAATAGCTAACTGTATAACAAAATCATTAGCTTTAAACAGACTCCAAATTGGACCAAATGTTTACATAACGTTACGTCACAACTCGGGATTTTATTATGCCCAATTAATCGGGGCACAGCAGAATATTGCAGAAAAACTAATTGCGTGACAAACGAGGCTATCAACACGAATACAATATTGTTAGTCAAACAATACTTTCACTGTTTTTAATACCTTAAATCACTGTCCAAAGTTTTAGGGCAGACCCCAGATTAAACGAAGGGCTGTCATGTTGCTTTACTTATAGGGATAGATTTGATTGAACGGGGGAGAATAGACACACTCCCTCCAAAGCTCAAGTATCAGAAGCAAATCCAGCAATGGTCAAAGAGGGATTTCTCGGGCCATTGCTTCAGGAATATGGGGGTGAAGTCAAATAAACAGTTCAACAATAATAAGAATGGGTATGAGTGATGTTTTTTATTGACAGATTTTCATCCAGATGGCTTTTTCTTCTCCCTGGAACCACATAATTTTTATGCAATGTAGAAAAACATTGATTTTGGAAGGAAAAAAAATTTTTTGAAAAAAAAAAAAAAATTAACGTTTCCTGAGCATCTGCTCAGTATTGTGTTTCTTCCAGTTGGCCCATCTAGATCCACCAGTAGTTTTATTGAATTTATGACCTTTACCCAAACCGCGGGATGATTTTCCAGCATTGGTCAAGCCACGTAATTCTCTGTGTTTCATTACAGGTCTGCATATCCATTGTGTGCGTGGATTTCTTCGGATAGCTTTGTGGAATGGATCAACCAAGATTACTTCATAAAACTTGAACATAGAGTCTTGACAAACCCAATAAGAGTTTAAAACTCTGAGATTTCCACATCTGCGCCCAACACGTTCCTGAAATAGAATTTATAATATTTTATTTTCAGGAATGAAACAAAAGTAAACTTTGATGTATCAAATTAAACAAAAGTGGATTGTATTTTTAATTATTAACCATGTTTTATTTCATAATCTACCATATTCTTGTTTCAGTCTTCAGCATTTTATTTTTGAAAACATTAAATTAAGCGGTTTAAAATTTGATTATGTCATCAAACATAAGATTACCTCAGCAACGGATCTCAGGTTTCTGGCATACTTGAGTCGAACAACACAATGTCTTTTAGGTTTACCATATGTAATACCCTTTCTAACTGGCTTCTTGCGACTACCTCTACGTACACGTACTCTGTAGATAACAAAGCCTGAAAAAATATTAAGAGCATTTATTAATAATTTTCCAAAGCCTAAATTTTAAACAAGTACTGTATGGACCAGAAAACGAGACTGACGTCATCACTGTCAGCTTGGAATTGTGACGTCATATCAAAAATTGAAATCCATCGATCGATGTGAAATTGTCCAGGAAACATGGACACCAAATTTCATGTCGATCATACTCAATTAGTTGATCCTCAGGTCTAAATGTAATGCTTAGGATAAATACCTTGTTTAGCTTTGTAACCAAGCTGTCTTGCCTTTTCTGGTCGAGTTGGTCTTGGACAACGATGAACTGGGTTTAATTGACGATACTGCCAGCATCTCACACGAAGCAGAAACCGCATAACATCACTCTGCTTTTTGCGGTAGATTTCTTGCATATACTTGTATGCCCCCATCTTGGTTTACTGCCACTAGGCTACAAAAAATATTCAAAACAAATGTTATTCAATATTTAGACGGTAAACTGAGAGAATATTCAACACATAGATACCAGTGGCAGTATCTGTGCAGAGCTTAAGTCCTGTCAACTCTTTTTCCCCACGTATTGACCTTTTTTTGCCTACTCTTTGTTGCCCAAATGTATCAGTTCGGTATACTGGATTTTTTCTTTATTCTCATTTTAAGTACTACATGTAGCTTCTACTTCTAGGCACAACTAGATAATGTAAAGGCAATTCCCTGAAAATTTCATTCAAATTGATCCACTATTAAACGAGAACTAAGCGATTGAAATTTCTGCCTAGCCTTGATCATTATTACTAAGTCTAAAGTCAGTACGATAAACAGCATAGTCTGGATTATCCATTTAATCGTGAAGGAAAGTTATGCAGTAAATCAGCTCATAATCCACCAAAGATCGCAGGCTAGCGATGCCATCTAAGAGTTGATTATGGTCGGGATAGGTTAATTAATGTCAAATTAATAATTTAGATAACATTTCAGGCCTAAAGAAAGCCCTGCAATAGACAGATTTAGCTCTTGTCTACGATATCACCTTAGGTGGAAGTGGACGTAAAACTCCAGAAACGAACGACGAAAGAAGATTTAGCTCTTGCATAATGCATGTTTAAGTGGACATATAGACTTTTTGCGGCTGGTAGGCAATATTTAAACTTTCGTGTGTGAAATTCAGGAATAGATCTGTGGGGAAAGCTAGGACACACTCCCCTTCTTTGCCTTTCAAGGCACCGCTGTGAGTCAATCCATCAACGTAACACTGACATTTAATTTTTTCGGTCTTACGTCAAATGAATAAGAATGCAAAACACTTTATACATAAGAAACCTATTAACGTCAGTGCCCAATATTTAATGATGAGTTTCCGAGCTGCGGTCATTTTAAATATAGTCTGCATCAATTCAATATATCATATTCCTGGTGAAAGCTACAATGCCTCAATAACATTGATAGGTTTTATTTAATAATAGCACACTCCCCTTCTTTGCCTTTCAAGGCACCACTGTGAGTCAATCCATCAACGTAACACTGACATTTAATTTTTTCGGTCTTATATCAAATGAATAAGAATGCACAACACTTTATACATAAGAAACCTATTAACGTCAGTGCCCAATATTTAATGATGAGTTTCCTCAATAACATTGATAGGTTTTATTTAATAATAACGACAGTAAAAGGAAAACTTTCCAGGTTTAGTGGAAAGTGAAAATATGACTAACGAGTGCATGTCGTGATGATGACAGTAGGAGTATGGTCGTAACTCGTATGATAAAGACAATAAATATAAATTGAACGGTCAAACCATCTCCAGTTAAAGGGACAATAACACTCTTGCTGGCTTGAAAGCTCCAGAAAATAAATAATATCTCTATCTAAGTACTAGATGTTTAAGTGTCCTACTTGTTGTGTAAATTATCCATTACATCCTATTTTACTTGTCCAGAGGGTTCGAAAATATTTTTAAATCAAAGTTTCATTTTCAAAATCTTTAAATAAGGTGTGTTAAGATGAAATTTGTATCAATTAATTGAAATATTCTAAAATACTAAATAGTACAATTTGTTGACCAGAATAAAGATTGGGACATATTATTCAGTTACAACAAGAGTGGTATTGAGCCTTTAATGAAGAGTAAAATATACCCATATCGAGAATCTGCAGAATTTTGTGATCAACACATGGCGTATATGTGCCCGATGTGGAGTTAACATATTGACTAGTCTTACAGTGATTGAGTGAACTCGTCCCTAAATAATACTATTCATTCTATTTCTAATCTAACGCCATTATTCAGTAACCTTAAAGGGACAATAACACTCTTGTTGGCTTGAAAGCTCCAGAAAATAAATAATATCTCTATCTAAGTACTAGATGTTTAAGTGTCCTACTGTGTAAATTATCCATTACATCCTATTTTACTTGTCCAGAGGGTTCGAAAATATTTTTAAATCGAAGTTTCATTTGAAAAGGTTTACGTTAGAGTTTCAAACCATTGGCATTACGTTGAATTTTTCAAAATCTTTAAATAAGGTGTGTTAAGATGAAATTTGCATCAATTAATTGAAATATTCTAAAACAGTACAATTTAGTGACCAGAATAAAGATTGGGACATATTATTCAGTTACAACAAGAGTGGTATTGAGCCTTTAAAATGATGGTAACGTTCAAATGACCATATAACAATTCATTAGTCTTTCGAACTTCCTGATGTTTATAGTATTTTTCTAAATATACTATTCAAAAAAAGTAGGGGATATTTGATTTTGGGGGCATAATACTAAAATATGCAAATGACTACGAAAAAAGTCACTATAGAACCTAACAGAAGAAACATTTCCAGTTACATGTGACGCCCAAACGCACCAATAGCTACCGCATGGAATGCAGGTGATGCTTGGGATCATCATGGGGGTCCAACCCAAGATTTGCACGACTCTGACTTTGAATGTTACAGTCATTGTGGCATTGAATTCCAGGGTGGAAACATCAGTTTAATTGTTTTAGTGACCAGAAAACAAATTTTGATATGCGTCGGCTTACCCAAAATGAAAGGTTACGTGCCCTTGGCATGCTACAGATCGGCACAACACAGGCGGTTGTGGCGCGGACGATGAATGTTTCTCAGTCTGTCATAAGCAGGCTATGGTCCAGATACCGTGATACACAATCTGTACAGGACAGACCACGCTCAGGTCGACCAAGGGCGACAACTCAAGCCCAGGATCGATTTATCCGTACCTTGGCCTTGAGAAATCGTGTCATCACAGCAAATCAGATCAGCGCTCGTCTTCAAACAGACACTGGTGTGAGAGTGAGTGGCCAGACGATTCGGAATCGACTGCATAGGGGTCACCTTCGCGCCCGACGTCCTCGTGTGATCCCTTGTTTGAGAGATCATCACATTCAGGCAAGACGTCGTTGGTGTAGGGATCGTCAACACTGGGATAATCGACGCTGGAGCAATGTGATGTTTTCAGATGAGTCAAGGTTCACTGTTGATTTTTTGGACAGACGTAGGAGGGTGTGGCGTCGTCGAAACGAGCGCTTCCAAGACGTCAACGTCATCATCGATTTGGGGGTGGTTCTGTTATGGTGTGGGGAGGCATCACTGTTGCTGGAAGAACGGCTTTACATGTTGTTGCAGGGCGTGTTACAGGCCAGTACTACCGGGACAACATCTTGGCAGTCCATGTTGTGCCGTTCGCACGACGTCATGGCCGCCGTTCCATCTTCCAGGATGACAACGCAAGATGTCACAGGGCCAGGATCGTTACAGGTTACCTCCAACAACAGAACATCACCACATTACCTTGGCCAGCACTGAGTCCCGACCTCTCCCCCATCGAGCATGTCTGGGACATGCTTGGACAGAGGTTACGTCAACGTCAACAACGTCCTGCCAATGTCCAAGAACTTGCTGCTGCGTTGCAACAGGAATGGGACAATCTGGACCAAAATGACCTTAGACGTCTCATTAGGAGTATGCCACGTCGGATCAATGCTTGTTTGGCAAACAGAGGAGGATTTACCTGTTACTGACTTGGTTGTGATGCTGTGGTAACTTTGCTGTTTGACCCCGGGTATCATTTTACCCTTATAATGGTCAGTCTGTGCCTTACTTAGTCTAACGATCATTTGGAATAAATCGATGAATGTGAACTTCATTTCATTTTGTCATTTGTTTCTTCGTCAGTTTCATTAGGTGACTTTAATAACACTTAAAAATCAAATATCCCCTACTTTTTTTGAATAGTATATATACGTGTCAGTCTCATGACAATCATAAGGGGGCGGGGTATTTTCTTCAAATTGTCATTTTCTAGAGGTAGCCGCCTGGATATTTTATTTAACAATTTAAACACACTTCAAAAAGCAAGTACCTAGAAATATTCGATTAATTCATTGTTATATTATTGAAGTAACAGTTAATTAACTTTATTTGACCATACCATGTCTAAAATATTGGGATTACACTCGATTCTTAATTAGATAAGAGACATACCACGTACTCTGGACAAAAGATGCGTGTAAAAGACCAAACGGTACTTCACGAGATAACACGAGAGTTTGAATTTTCTGGTTTTCAGTTTTGAAGAGTTCAGATCGTACAATTTCCCGGGGTTTTTAAAACTTCCATCTAAGTTATAAAATACTAAAATTAGAAAAACTGGATCACTTTTATTAAGTTCTAATTAATTTCTTACTTATGACTTGACAGTGGAGTTTATTTATTATTCTTTTCAAAAGGTGCTGTTAAAAGGTAAAAGGAAACAATAATACAATAAAGAGAAAAAAGGCCCGTGAAAAATCGTCTGCTTAAAATCATATCCGATCTTCTTGTTTGGCCAACGTCTTTCCACTTGAATTGATCCTACTCAAGAGACACGACGTATAGCAGACTACCGTCAAGTTCTGTTTTTCTTCTTAACAAAAGTTGGTTTCGCATGGTTTCACATAAGATGGTAAGTGTAAGTGTTTACATTTAAGTTCGGTGATTACAAAGTACAGTTGTTAATGCAAAATTTCAATTTGGCAAGCATAAGATATATAAAATACCGGTACTATAGAAAGATCTATAGATCTAGACCAATACTGGCTACTTATTTGTACAACAACTAGTCTGATGCAGGGATGCAGTCTATTTGGGATGTTGTCTTTTTAGTTTTTTTTTATCTAGTGTCAACAACTGACAGACAATATGGACGGGACACTGAAAAACATTTTTGAACTTTTTGACTGAAACAAAACAAAACCTCATGTGCCTACAATCAATGGGATAAATATCCATTTATTAATATAATACCCTGTCTAGAAATGTATTATTATTGACAATCCAAGTGGAGTCAACATTAAAATAGTTGGTAGGCTAACGGCTTTAGTAAGGGCGTGTATATATATTTGGATATTTTGATCCCTTTAAACTAAAGTTTGAAAATGTATTTGTCAAGTACTACAATGCCTATGACAGTAAGTAAAATTTTGTCAATTTCATGAGACAATACATTTTGGTTATTATACTACATGAATTTTATGAAGAATTTTTAATAATAGATCTTGGGATTGACCAGCTTGTCGATTTCATTATCAATTTAGTGTTTGTGTACTGGAATGCGGGAGAGAGAGAGAGAGGTTTAATGTCCACTCAACCCAAACTAGGTCATTTTGGGACTAACACATGGTAAACTTTATTTCATTAATTTGCATGTGGGAAGAAACCAGGGAACCCAGAGAAAACCCACAAGGTTGGACAGGTGACCCTACTCCTTGTCACGTACAACCGGGGAATTGAAACTATGCCAGTTAACTTAATGATAGACCTTATGATACAGTGTGCATGTTAACCCTTCGACCATCCAACCCCCCACCCCCATACTTGAATGGGAAACATACCAGAATTATAATTAAATAAAGATAAAGGTTAGAAAAAACTAGAAACAAACGTAAATGGTCATACTCATAACTGGAGTTTGTTTGATCCTCCTGTTATAAGGACATATAGGGTCAGCTGCAAAGTTTTGTAGTCTCATTTTGAATTTCTTTCTTTCTTTTTTGTGTAGAGTAATGCAAAATATTACACATAGCAGAGTTAAAGATTATTGGAGCATAAAATATAATGGTTACCTTTGTGATTTTTTTGAGCAAAAATATGTTAGGTATTCATTCAAGTATTTAATTTTCAGGTCGGTTGAGAGTTTTTTCTATGTTTTTTAAGGGTTAAAAAAAAAAAGAATCAATTTACACATTTTGTTAACATAGATTGAATCGTTGCCACATTATAACCTCTGCCTTTCTTAATGCTTAATAACTATAAGAAACCAATTTGTCTTTGTGTATGGATGTATACCATCATTAGGATACTGTAATGTGTTTATATAGATCGAGATTTTGAGAATACCAATTTCTAAGTATTAACACATCATTCTCGATTTGACATTGGAATTGATTACTAATCTGTACTGTAGCAAACCTTTAATAGATTTGATAGCAAGGTGTACTGTTTTCAGAAAGTTATATAGGGCCATTCAGGTCATGTAAATTTATCAGGTCATGCGAGGACAATCACCAAATTATTTTGTTTATGTTGCTTTAAAGTGGTACTTCATAATAATGGTTGTAAGCTTATGCTAATGTTGAATATCACATTACAAACATTAAGAAACTGTCAAGAAATCTAAGCTATTTCATAAGGTTATAAGGTGAATATGTATATAAAAAAGAAAAGGTGTGTTAAGTTCACTCCATCCTGATCTTTTAGAATTTGTGCCCACTACTAACACCTAACATTTTATTGTCGTATGGACTAAGTAAATGAAAGGAAATGAAATGGGGTTTTACATTCATTCTACCTTTCTGTATCAACAAGGTTATCTAAGATGTCCATATGCTATGCAGTATGCTATGAGGAAAACTTTCCCCAGACTCTTCGACAAATCCCAACTGTCAACTCAATGCCAACTTAAATCCTGTTTTTTTATACGCCCACATTTTCATGTGGACATATTATGTCGTCGCCCCTGTCCGTCCGGACGTCCACAATTGTTTGTGGACTCTCTACAGGTCACAATTCTTATCCGATTTTAATGAAACTTGAAATATAGGTTTATCCCCAAAAGATCTCGGCTTCTTTCGATATTGGCATGTATCGGATCAAAACTTCATGGATTATGGCCCCTGATTGTACGAAAAATAACGTTTTTAGCTTGTGGACCCTATAGAGGTCACAATTTTTATCTGATCTTTTTGAAACTTGAAATGTAAGTTTATAACCCAAAGATCTCGGTTCCTTTCGATATTCGCGCATATCGGACCGTAACTGCCTGAATTATAGCCCCTGATTGTACGAAAAATCGCATTTTTAGCTTGTGGACCCTATAGAGGTCATAATTTTTATCCGATTTAAAAAACTGTATTATTATATCACTGTTACACCCTAAGGTAGGCTGAGTTCGAATTTCGTGAAAATCGGCCCAAAATTGACAGACAAAATGGCCGCCGTTCGTTCTCAAATAGCGTAAAAATATGGTATATCAAGGTTGTGGACCCTATGGAGGTCACAATTTTTATCCGATTTTGTTGAAACTTTAAATGTAAGTTTATAACCCAAAGGTCTCAGTTCCTTTTGATATTTGCGCATATCGGACGATAACTTCCTGAATTATGGCCCACTGATTGTACGAAAATACGCGTTTTTAGCTTGTGGACCCTATAGAGGTCATAATTTTTATCCGATTTAAAAAAACGTATTATTATATCACCGTTATACCCTAAGGATGGCTGAGTTCGAATTTCGTGAAAATCGACCCAAAACTGACAGACAAAATGGTCGCCCTTCGTTCTCAAATAGCGTAAAAATAGGGTATATCAAAGTTGTGAACCCTATGGAAGTCAAAATTTTTATTCGATTTTGTTGAAACTTGAAATGTAAGTTTATAACACAAAGATCTCGGTTCCTTTCGATATTTGCGCATATCGAATTGTAATTTCCTGAATTATGGCCCTTGATTGTAGGAAAAATCACTTTCTTCTTAGCTTGTTCTCTATCCATCTCTCGAAAATGTGGGCGTATCCTGCCTGGCAGCCGCTGGTTTTCTATTCCATCCAAACAAATAGAAACATTTATTTTATTGCCAGGCCGTCCAGCCTACAGCAGTGACAAAGGGAAACCAGACTGGGAAATTCTGAGAAACTTTCCCAGCCAACAGTGAACACTAGGAATGTCTGTGATCTAACTCGAGACCTGGTTAGTGAGCCGGCACCACAATCACCGAGCCCCTTTGGCAGAAATGTATCAGTGTTGATCTTTTTCTGTATTTCCAATCTGATTTAAATACAGATCTATATATTGGCCTACACTACATGAAAAAGGTCCAGTCAGGGTTCGTATGAGCGGCTTTTGACCCTATGGCATCAGACACTGATTAATCAATCAGTGTTGACAGTTCTAGTGGTTTACACACAGTTCCATGCTTTCGTTGGCGAATCCTTCACTTCAACCAGAACGCTGGTAATATAACAACTCTTCCAGATCCTAGTGTAGTAAAGACAAGTATGGTAAAATGAAATTTTGAACTATAAAAAATAATATGAAATAAGATCTGTGTTTTAATCAGATTCAGTGCTGCAGATCCCGGGGTGGGATGGGGGTCCCCCTGGATTTTCACTGGGGGGGATTTCATATGCCTCGTCCCACCCAGAAAAATGCATCGATAAAATTTCAAAAGTCTTATTTTCAGCCAGGGAAATGTAGCCTATATTTCCGAACATGCCGATGTACAATGCCCAGAAATGGTCTCAGATAGCATTTTGAGGCATCCTAATTTTAAAAAATCTTCTGGGGGAGGCACCAAGACCCCCACTAAATGCGCGCCTGTAGCGCACATGGCGTATATGCCTTCGCCCGCCATACTTTGGGTGATATTGAGTTAGAGACTTAGCTACTTTAATATAAAATATTTTCAATAAATGTGAATGAAAATACATATTACAAAATTATATTTTCATCAATATATAAATGTTTTCAAAATAATCCTAAACATAGCAATGCCAGATATAATTCACAATATCAATTAAATTTCCTCATTTACATTCTTTGGTGACTTCAGCACCCAGTTGCCCTCTGTGAATTGGAAATCAGTGATGCATGTCAATTAAAATATCTCTGGAAGTCAGAATGCATGTCATCCTATTTATTATAACCATACAAGCTTAAATATACTATACTTTACTTTCAGTACAAAAATTGTTATATATACTATCATTCAGCATAGAAATACATGAAGTTGTTCCGTAGTTCTATTTAATGTAGCTTGCCCCTGTTTATTCTGAGTAGCCCCATCCCATGAGCAGTTCAAATAGTCATTATTCTGTTGTAGATATTTATCTTATCATAAGTCAAAGTCTGATAAACTGTTTGGGAGTTTGCATTCAATTTTGGGATTTCCACTTTTCCGTATATATATATTTTTGTTTGTAAATTTGCATTCTAACAATTCCTGTCGACTGTCAAGATAAAAAACTTGGTAACCTTGGTGTACAATGTACATCATTACACCAAGGCCTACAAAAGAGTACTGTGTAGAATGTGATTTATTTTTGTGAACTTTGTGGTCAGGTGTGACAGTACATGTACTTATAAAATATACCA